ATGTTAATATGTAGGTTTTTAAAAATTTCCATGTCAAATTTTTTTCTTTCCAAAAATGATTGTATTTCTTTTATTTTAATTGCTCGAGTTCTAGAAAATTTAGTAACATAAGATTCTATATACATAATCTTTGAAAGCTAAGCATAAACTGACATAAATTTTCTGTACAATTATTATGTACATTATTGCGTAAATGATGTATTTAGGGTGTCTGAAACTTTTGCTAAGGTACTGTATTCCAAAAATTGATACATTGTAGTTTGTTTCATTGAATTTATTTTTAAACTAGAGTGATGATGAGTTGCAATGCATTGCAACCACCACCACCATTCTTATGATAAACACTTACCCTCGATCCTCAGCCACTCTTTGATTTTCTTTTCCCTTTTGATACTTTGAAGACATTTTTAATTTGAAAAAAAAAATTTTAAAACATGTTAAACCAAATAATATTAATAATATTATTATTGGCACTTGGTGTTGCACAAGATTTTTTTTGACAGCATAGTGGAAATTCGAAAGGTTACACTATTTTTTATATTGTGCAATGTAACTTTACAATACTGGCAAACATTCTGGCAATAAAAAGTAAGTGATGAACTGGATTTGAATTGGATCTGAACTTGACCTCCAATTTAGAGAGGCAACAACTATATACTGGTGAAGTTTTAGGAGCAATGGGTTCTGTATAAAATTTTGTGCAATGACAAACTTCCACTATGTGAATTGGTTTTTTTTTCTTGGAAAAACAATCTTATTTTTTGACAGACAAAACATGGTTCTCCTAAAGAAGAAGTGCTAATAACTAGCCAGTGGTGCTATTTTTTACTTGCATTGATATGTCTTTTAGTTTATAAATATTTTAATTGGAATCAAAACACGGAGCGGATCTTTCTGGATAATTATAAGATTCCCACCAATTAGTAAACAAATGATTGGTACTTTGCTTTTCGTAATCGTTATTAATGCTATTATTATTATAATTAATTACAAGATGTCAAGGCAGTATGACTGATTGTAAGAAACAATTCAATATAAAACAATTCAAGTATGCAATGTTTGATTATTGGAAATTAGCAGATGCTCATGTACATAAGGCTAAATCTGACTTGCGCCCTACCAATGATACATCAATGCAATAGAATTCTGGGGTAGCATGACCCTGGAGTTTACCGAGACTGCCAAGGATGCTTTCACTAATCTTCTTTCACAGCACCAGACCAGAGAAGGCTGCTGGCATGCTGGTGAAAAAGTTGCCTGCATCGATCCTACCTCTAGGGTAAGGATGGCTATGCAGCCAAGTCATGTTTTGAAGAGTTGTGATATTGGGTGTGCATAAACATCCAGATCCATTAATACAACAAGAATCAGCAACTTGTTCCAAGCACATGAGATTGCAATTCAGAGCCAGGTCGGTGGCCCTGAAATCACATTTAGTCTCCGATGTTAGGAGGAAGGCTTTAAATAAAATGGTTCAGATTTTTTTTTGGTATGTTATATATATATTAGTTACTTTCCCAAATTTTCTGTTTCTTCAATTTTTATTTGACCAATTGAACTTGATATTTTTTTAAATGGGCTCTTTGCCTATACAACTCAACCTAGGTTAATAAAAGAGTGTAACTCAATCAGAGCATGTTCTTACAAGTATAAAGATGGCAGTTCAACTCTGCCCACTCCCATTGTGATGGTCATCATGATCATTGGCATCAAGGAGAAAGCTGTAAAATAAATTTTGTTTGATATGTTATGTAAAAATTAATCATTTTCACAAATTTTCTGTTTCTTTAATTTTTGTTCAACCAACTGAAATTGTATTTAAAATCCAATACAACCACCCAGGTTGCAACCTCCTGAGTTGGAGTATTTTGAATCAGTTGCAGACACCAACTTTGTTCTATAGATCAGGATAACACAAAGCAATCATCACACAAGTACCAGCTATCAGTAATCAATGCCAAGCATGGTCTGAGAGAAAGATAAGGGAATGTTTTGTCCAAAGCCTTCCAACTTGTAAGTGTCTCACCTGTGGAAAAAATTCCATAGGGATGAGATGGTGTGAAGCACCCATTTGTGACAGGGATTTTAATTAAATCTGATACCTGTGATCAACATCAGATTTATTATTCATAAGGAAAATTGTGATCTGGCATGGCCTTGGTGCTACCCAGGTGATGATGCAATTGTGTTACAACGTTGTTAATTGAAATTTTTCATGTACAAGTCGGTTTTGGGTTGAGATTTTTATAATTATAATTTTTTGTATAAGTCAGGTTCGGGTTGAGATTTTTATAATTTTTATTTACAAGTTGGGTTCGGGTTGAGTAATCATTCAATTATGATGACCCATGCAGGCCTCTATTCTGGAAGCACTCACTGATTCATTCTTAGTAAATATCTGGCATATATAAAATTATTCACACACATAATACTGAAATATAAGTTTATTTAAAAAAAAAAAATTTTTGTAAAATTAACATAATAAAATTTCCATTTATACATAATGTATAAAATTCCTATAAAATAATAAAAATAAATTTAAGTATGTTATTATTTAATAAAATTAATTAAAAAAAAAAAATACTCACCCAATCTGCATCAACGTCTGATGCCCATTGGAATTTCTCCTGGAGGCTTTGTTAAAAACCTTTTCAATTGGGACTTGGTATTTTTTGCTCCAGGCTACCATGATGTGTGGGTCTATGTAATTCATTTTTGATGTACCCAGCGCAATTATTGTATTGTCTTCTTCATCTTGTTCTGACAATTTGGTGGTTTTTATATGAGCCTTGCTGATGTAATTGTTTATAGTTACATAAAATAGCAATCTGAATCTTTACCCAAAAAATCAAACTTGACTGTCCTTGGTTCTACCAAAGTAATATGCTCACACCTGAAAGAACAACAACCTACAGTATCTGCTTCTTCAACAGTTTTTCATTTCTTGCTCTTAGTGAAAGTGTGTCAATAAGATACATAGCTGTACCACGTTGACGAACTGATTCAAATTTATCTTCTAAATCCTTTGTGTAATCATGGCGAATTTTTTCTAGGTGTTTATCAAGCTTCCTAGCTTTATCAAATTTTTCGAAGTCAATTTGACCTTTAATTGAGCTATTGGCTGCTAAAGACATATGGAGTTCAAATCCTTAAGACACATAGTTGGAAAGGATGGAATCAAGATGGATCCAGCGAAGATAGAGAAGGTGCAAAACTTTCCTAAACCTATCAACGTCACCCAAGTAAGAAGTTTCTTAGGACTTTGTAATTACTATAGAAAATTCGTAAA